ACGTGTAAATAACGGAAAAAGAACAGAGAAGGACCGCGAAGTGAAAATGTGAAAATAAATATGAAATTGAGTCGATAACATAATCGAACAATTCGAGGCAGCTTATTGGCACGAAATTCGCGGCCGTCAATGCCAAACAATTGTTGTCATAGACTTCGGAAAGCTAAATGCTTGTAATGAAAGTCACTTAGTGTGCACGGGCGAAAGCCTGAGGCCATTCGGGCTACCAAGCTGTCTTGAATCTGTGAAATCGTAACTGTGACTTATACTGATGTCCTGTCTGTCTCTTTTCTCCATTATCACCAGACTATGAGTCACGTAATTGTAAAATGGGAAATCTACGATGGAAAAGTGACAAATCGAAAGTATCATGAGCGTGTATTATGATGTATGCATACTAATACGTGGACTAGAGTGATAGAGGAAAGAGAAAGGGAAGAGCAAAGATGAGTGCTTAAAAAGAAGGATAGGCAGGGTCAGATCCTCAGATGTGCAACGAATAAGGTGTATACGTGTGCTGATCTTTGTAATTATAAATTGTCAATACATGTAATTAATATTATTTTCTTTTTTATTTTGTGCATGTTATAAGTTATAAATAAATATAAACAAACAACACTAACCCGATAACATTAATTAATAAATCTAAGTAACAAATTGATTAATTTGCTGTGTTTTTGTTATTCCTTACTCCTGTTTTTAGATGTTCGGTATTCGGCCGAATAGTGATTAAATATTCGGTATTCAGCCGAATAGTGAAAAATAGGCTGAATACCGAATAGTAACCAAATATTCATTACATCACTAATTTATATTATATAATAAAATCGCGGTACAGAACTGCAGTACATAATAAAAAAGTACAGAACTGTGGCTCCCATGCATTTTGCAAATCCTACATTTTGGCTCCCACTGACTTCTTGCTTGCCCACCCCTGATATAGTGCATTCGAAATAAACCATAGACGAAATAGTAACACTCAGATATTTGTAGTTAGAGACAACTTGAATTGGGAAACCCTTAAACCACCATTTATCTGTCCTCGCACCCTTACCACCTCTTTGGAACAAGTTGAGGCAGCTTATTGGCACGAAATTTGTGGCCGTCAATGTCAAACAATTGTTGTCATAGACTTCGGAAAGCTAAATGCTTGTAATGAAAGTCACTTAGCATGCACGGGCGAAAGCCTGAGGCCATTCGGGCTACCAAGCTGTCTCGAAACTGTGAAATCATAACTGTGACTTATACTGATGTCCTGTCTGTCTCTTTTCTCCGTTATCACCAGGCTATGAGTCACATAATTGTAAAATGGGAAATTATGACGTATGCATAGCATATGTGGACTAGAGCGATAGAGGAAAGAGAAAGGGAAGAGCAAAGACGAGTGCTTAAAAAGAAGGATAGGCAGGGTCAGATCCTTTGACTTATTCAGACAACAACCTTAGACTTATTCAAATTCAATTTCAAACCATTTTTATCTAAATAAATCGTCAATTTATCAATCAATCTTTGAAGCCCAACCACAGAGTCAGATAAAATTACAATATCATCTGCATAAGCAAGTGTTTTAATTTGGATGTCTTCTATTTCTATACTACTAATGAATTAGTGGTAACATAGGTGGGGATTTTATTGAATTTGCATTAAAAATTTTTACAATTCAACTGGGCTCCCTCTAAGATTAAATTCTGATTTTGTCACTGAATGATTAAATGTTAGTTTGGCATTTCTTAGTATTGAGATTTAAAACATTAATCCCTAGTAAGAATATCATTTCATCATTTTTAAATGATATCAACTTACATGAACTGATAAAATGATTCAAATGAGTAAATGATATGAAATGATATAAGTTGGTATCAATTGATAAAGTGATGTCACTTATGAAATTATTTTTGTTCAATTTCATATGACTAATTGATATTAATTACTAGAAAAGTTTTAAGTGATCAATTAAAATAAAACGATGCATTAAAAACTACAGTACTTTGAAAATTGATTTGATATGTTTGAAATGTGAAATAATTTAAAATCAAATAATACACATTACATTAAAAAATTGTGACTATATGTATAAATATTAGGCAATATTCTGATCTTTTGGTAAGCTGTTTTAACTTCTTAATTTGTTGGATTTCAGGTTTTTCTCTACATGATTTAATTTAAGTAACTCAATTTAACTCAAATAAAATTTGATTTTTTTATCTAATACCTGTATGTACTGCTTTTAATGACCAGACATCTAATAACTGTAGTTCTGTGTAAGATAGATCAGATCCGCATAGAGATTGTAAATATGCATCAGAATACCTTTTCAGCAATATATTATATACACCTATATCTATAATATTGTTTAAGTTGAGTTGGAACAAACCTTTAATTTTCAAATTACTGATGCAGGATTTTAGGCCGTCACTATGGACATTGTTCTTACAAATGTATATGTGTGTGTTTGTATTTGTGTGTGCATATGATATTTGATATTAGTTTTTTTATTTTATCCTTTGACTTATTCAGACAACAACCTTAGACTTATTCAAATTCAATTTCAAACCATTTTTATCTAAATAAATCGTCAATTTATCAATCAATCTTTGAAGCCCAACCACAGAGTCAGATAAAATTACAATATCATCTGCATAAGCAAGTGTTTTAATTTGGATGTCTTCTATTTCTATACTACTAATGAATTAGTGGTAACATAGGTGGGGATTTTATTGAATTTGCATTAAAAATTTTTACAATTCAACTGGGCTCCCTCTAAGATTAAATTCTGATTTTGTCACTGAATGATTAAATGTTAGTTTGGCATTTCTTAGTATTGAGATTTAAAACATTAATCCCTAGTAAGAATATCATTTCATCATTTTTAAATGATATCAACTTACATGAACTGATAAAATGATTCAAATGAGTAAATGATATGAAATGATATAAGTTGGTATCNAAATATTTTTTACAAGTTTAATTTTAAGAAAAAAGAGTATTATTTTAAGTATTATTATTAAAGAGTATTATTCTTTGTACAATCATTCTACAAACAAGTTAACAAATTTTCATACAGTCACTTCTAAATCACTTATAAATTTTTTTTATAGTATCATAAATATTACAAACAAATAAAAAGCACTAAAACTAATCACTTAAGTCAGAGAATAATGGATATAAAAAAAAAAAGAAAAAGAAGAAAGTTATAAAAGGTAAAAGAATGGCTTTCACTCAAGCAAAAGGGTTTTGAGTTTGTTTCTTACTTGTATTTGTGGGTAATCTTCCAGTGTAATCAAATACTCAGTAATTTCCCTTAGCTTCCATCAAGCAAAATATAAGGGAATTCTACAGTCCTTTTTTATCTAGATCTTCTCTTTCAGTTCTCACTCAATTCCTCTCTTCCTCTGACAAGTTCCTCTCTTCAACCAATTCACACCTGTTTCCCTTTTTCTTTTTATTTCGTTTCTTCTTGTTTCAGAATTCTCTCTTCCAAATTAACATTTCTTTTTGTTTTTAAATGTAAGGAACAATTAAATAAATTAGACTTTAATGAAATATAGGACTTTAGTTACTTTCAATGCAATACAGTATTTCAAGAATTGTTTAAGTAGGTGTTTGTCTAAAATTACATTTAGTAAACCTTAGTATGTATATAAATTTCAAATGAAGACAAATGATTGTTTAATTTAATGTTTTTTTTTTCAATTATTTGTTTTTATATTTTGTTAATCTCATCAATGTTCCCAATGACTTGTGCTTTTTAACAATATGGCATCAAAGCAGCAAAAATTTTTTATGGATAGCCTTTGAAGAAATTAGAACATACAATTGTTCTAACCAAGTTAAGTAGCAAGTAACATTATAACTAATACAGATATTATGTATTGTTGGTATACTATTATTGAGATGCTCTCTGTAAGAAGAAATGATTTTCTCTGTTGGACAGGTGACTACAAAGTAAGTTTTCACAGAATTTCAGATTTGTCAAAGTAAGACTTTTGTCAGGAAATTCTTTTGCTGTACATATAAATAAATTTGTCTTTGTAACTTGTATTTCCCTTCCTTTTTTCCTAAAATATAGAGAATTTATTCCCATATCTGTTTCTGCATCCATCTGAAATCTTTTGGAATTTTGACTTTTTCAGATGTATTTGATATTTTTCAAATTAGTTTAAGTTAGTTATCCTTTTGTTAACTTAACAAGCTGAATATTCTAAGTGTTTAAATTATTATATTAGTTTCTTACTTGTATGTCATGGGAGATTGATTAAAATATATTTAAAAAAATATACTTTATGTATTTATTTATTTTCAAATGTGTACATATATAATTGTTTTATACTCTTCTTATATCTAGCATGGATTTAGTAAAACCTACAATGAGATGGCCAAGTGATGAGAGTCATAACTAACATTAGCATGAAAATTTGAGGTTCTGACCCAGATTTGAACCTATGTTGTCTGGAGCAGCAGGCTGATATCTTTATTGTCTTGGCTATTCAACTGTCTGTATTTGGTTAAGCTTATTTGTACATGAAATCAATCTTAAGCTCGTATTATTAAAAAAAGAAAATAAACATGAAACATGATTTTTAATGTTGATTATTTTTCTCAAATTTCAAAATATAAGAATGAACATATTTTTTATTTATTAATTATAGAGATTAGTACAAATATGGTAATATTTTTATTTAATATTTGCTTAGTTGTCAGAGGGCAGCTTTCATAAATATTTTAAATATTTAAGCAAAAAATTAAATTCTACTTTACTCCACTATGGTTTGTATTGAGTAACCAAAGCTAGATATTTGACTGTACATTTAAAAATCCATATAGTTCATTTACACTTTTTAATAGAATTGTTAATTGTTATATTTTCAATTAATAGGTTCAATCTAATATTTTCCTGTATGCTTCTTTTAGACAAACCTTGAGATGTTAGAAGAAAGCACCTTATATTCAAAGGTATGTTGTTTTATTTATATAAAATTAAACTTTACTTTAAAAATTGAAATAAGNTTGAAGAAATTTTGCAAATAGAAAGTATAATTAACTCATAAACTGTCAGAATACATTTGTATTTATTAATTTTAAATCTACTTATTATTTTTTAAATGTTTGCTCTGAAAATTCTTTACTTGTCAGAACCTGTAATATCTGGAATAATTGTGCTTATGCTGTCTTAATTTTTAACCATGTCCAGTAGCTTCAATGACTGAGTAACGCCAGGTTGTGCAAATTGAGCAAGGATACAAACGAGTATGAAGTCTGCAAGTATGAAGTTTTTCTTCGTAAACGGCCCATCAGTGGCCAAGCGGTCTTTGTACCCGGAACACTTGAACACTGGGAGTTCGGTCGTGGGTTTGCGCTTCGCTCGGACGGGTTGGCTACGTGGATTTTTCTGGGTTTTCTCTACGTCTGTAACGCCGAAATAGAGACTAGTTTCCCTTAAAAGATCTCCCGAAAGGCATCCCCGTAGGCAGATCGCCCAAGTGTTGCGTTGCCATAACTTAAACAACAAACATTTTCTTCGTAAGCCTGATTATTAAAGACAAACGAACTACCGAATTATTGGGCTATAAGCTTGATGTTTCTATTAAAGCAGCCGATAATTATGTTATAATCATTCACAGCTTTTTTTATTTTAATATAGAAATAAGTTATTATTTTACTGAAGTAATTCAGTTCAATTTAGTTCTTTGTTTTTAAAAATTAAAACAATTATCCAAGCAATTTCAATTATTTGAAAATATTCACAAATGGTCATACATTAATTACATGTGCAGTTTAAGGAGGAGAGGAGGGTTGGGAAAAACTACATCATTGGGCATGATGTACGTACGTAGGAGGGGATTCAAAATTGTCTATGTGAACGTTTTTAGTCGTATTGGAGGCATACAAATTTGCTCTTATTTTACTTACTGTACTAGCCATGTGAATAAACTTTTTAAAATCATTTCTTCAATGTTCAATGTCAAGGAACTACTGTACACATTATTTATAGAGGAGAGGAGTTTGTCAAAAGTACATTATATCATTATACACAACAGGAAAGGAGGGGTCAGAAGTGCTGAAAAACTGTACATGTAATTAATGGGCAGCCCATAAATTAGTAAATATTTCTGTGCACCATCAGTCATGTTAATCTTAGTTCATTAAGTTAAAATGATGTTGAAAGATTTGAATTTTGTTTTTCAATACAAACATTACTTAATAAAGTTAACTTTAGTTAATAGTACTGTAGTTCTTTTATAAATATTTAATAAAGTATATGTCTAAATAATTTAAAATTTATTATTAAGCTATAATATGCAAATTAAGAAAATTTATACTTTAATATTTTACTAAAGAAAACAGCAGAGGAAGAAGCAGCACATAAAATGGATAAATCAGAAGATGATATACCAAAATAAAAACTAATTTTGTGAATTATTAATAATTAAAATGTGTTTTTAAATACTTTGTAGACTTGGGAAAAATTAAATAAAAATATAATAGTTTGGATTATTAAATGTTCTCTTTCAATAATGTAGTATTTTCACACATTTCTTATAAATTTTCATGTGAATTTTTAATTTTTGATAATTTGCTCTTTAACTGGCACTATACATTCTTTATTTAAACATCATATTAAATTGATATTATATATTTTTTTACTAGATAAAAATTTACTAGAGTTTTATTTTATTAAAGTAAAGGCTGAATGTGTCACTAATAAGTGACACTTTAAGAAAAAAATAATTTTTTATGCTAATAACATAAACCTTTATTCTGAAACAAAACAATTTCAAGTGTAATCCCTACACAAACGTTTTGTAGTTAACATAAAATTATTTTTGGAAAATATATGGTAATTAAAAAAATTTTTTATTCTTTTGTGACCGGAGGGTCGGCACCTCCTCGGTGCCCTGTCAGGAATGACACCACCGAGTCCCGATTGATCCGGAAGTCGCAACGGCGGTTTGATTACAAAGTAGGTCACGTGATCTACCGACCCCCTCACTTTCCCGTCGCTTTCGTTGTCGGGAAAGTGTAAGTGGAGATTTTCTCAGATAGCTGAGGACAACAATTGTTCAGCAAGTATGGCGTCATCGACGATTGATTTTTGTTAAAGTTCGGATTCTCATACTCGAATCAATGTCCTTGCACTGCTAGTTGACACAGCCTAAAACAAAAATCATTGCAAGTTTACATATTGGACTATTAATAGGTGACATTTAAACTGTCGACATCAGTTATGTAGAAAATTGCTATTAATCTTATCTCCAGTTACAATGATTTTTTTCATTGAAGGAGTATAATTATTATAGTATTTGTGAATAAATAATAATTGTAATATCAGATTCATTTTGTTTAAAAACAGGCTTTTTGTCATCACAGCAATTCATTGCCATAACTTGCAAATTGTTTTAGTATCTTTTGAATAATACATATTTGTAGAATTCCCCTCTCCCGAGAAAATATCTGCGAAATGTCAAACATTACTGCACTGTCAAGATTTAGTGTCGTTACTTTACTATCCAATTTGCTTTTATTACACATTGTGCTCAAAAAGACCTTCAATAAATTTTTAGGTAAATTCAAATTCGGAAATTGTATGTTTATGTGTAACCAAATTAATTATGCTTAATCTCTAATAAATGAAGTCGAATTTTTAAAAGGTTATATAAGCAATTGTTGTAAATACTAAAATAAGGAATAGATATTTTCAATCAGGCATTGAAGTTTTAACTTGATTAATGTATTTATTATTTTTGATTTTATCTAGAAAAATAAATAACTTATAATTAAAATTTTTAAAATGTAACTTTCAAAAATANAATTTGTATTCCAATTAGATATGTAAGCTAATTTGCACATTTCAATGCTTGAAACTAAACAATATTCTATTTAAGTCATGAGATGAGTGACTGTCCGGATAAATATGTAACAGTTTTTTTGTACAAAATTTTCAAAAATATTATTTTCAGTGACAAAATGTTAAAGTTGATTAAAATTTTTATTTTGCAGTGTGGAAACATGAAAATCCATGTTATTTTAATAAAACATTTGTGACTTAATGCAGCAAATTTGGGTTCCACTTTAATTTTTTCGTGTCCGTATAAATTTGAAACACACCTTAGATGTTAAAGTCGGCATACAATACTCATAAAAAATAATATGCTTTATTGTGACAATTTATTCATGAATATTTGAAATTAAATTTAGATAATACAGTACTTTTTCACTGAGCTTTATATTCTGCGCTTTTTTAGCTTCTCAGATATTTTAGGATGAAATGCAGGATAAAATATTCATTTTTACTTTCTCGGGTGTTATAACAGAGGAATTTTTACATTTTGGACTTAGAAACGTCGATAAATGCAAAAATATTCGGTATATATGGATGTTAGTGTGTGTGGGGGTCACTATTTTGTTCATCCTGTTTGAAGCTTAATAACTCCCGTGTTTTTTTTTTTTTTTTTTTTTTTGAAAATTTTGAAATTTTGCAGGNGGATTTAGGATTGGAGTTTATCAAGGTTAAGCCCATGTTTTTTTTTTTTTTTTTTAATATTAGGAGAATAAGATAGAAGTCCATAACTTCTGTGTAAAATATGAAGCAAATCTTTTTCCTTACTCTACGATATCGAAGAGATCCATAAGCAGGGGCAGATCTAGGTTTTTCGGGTCCTATGGCTTATTGAAGTCCAAAAGGGCACCAGTTTTTGTTAGATTAAGAATATTTAAATTGGGGTTTAAAATTCATTTTTAATAACATCAAAATTAGAGTTGAAATATATTTATTTATGAAATGGTGTTGAATGATAAACTTTATCAGAAAAAGTATTAAAAATTTATTATGATAACTCAATTTTTGTGGGCCCTTGATACTTTTGGGCCCAGGGCTTAAGCCCTATTAGTCCCTATGTAGATCTGCCCCTATCCATAAGACTTTCTTCTAATGATATTTCTGCAGAGCTCTAAACATATCACAAGTCGGCTATTCCATTCATATCATCTCTCGTTTAGTTAATGTTTTAAATAAATGAATGAATTTGCTACACTAACATTGCATTGGTGGTTCTCAGAGTTTCAGTTGACTTGATTTCAGACATATTTTTTTTAAATTATTGATTTTATAGTAGACATGAGGTAAAAAGTAAAATACGAGTAAGGTGTGTTTCAAATTTATACGGACACGAAAAAATTAAAGTGAAACCCAAATTTGCTGCATTAAGTGACAAATGTTTTATTAAAAATAACATGGATTTACATGTTTCCACATTGCAAAATAAGAATTTTAATCAAACATTAACATTTTGTCACTGAAAATAATGTTTATGAAACTCTTATACAAAAAAACTGTTACATATTTATCCGGACAGGTTTCAAATTGCAAAGTTTTCTTACAATTTAATGGCCAATGTAACCACCATTTAACTTAATTACATTAAATACTCGATTAGGCATTGTTTCAATTAGATTCTGAAGGAATTCAATCTTAAGTTTATCCCAAGCATCTGAAATTGCTGCCTTCAAATCATGAATTGTGGAAAACTGCTTTCCATTGGCATAAACTGTACGAACCATCATCCCCCAAAGATTTTCCATCGGATTCAGGTCAGGGCTTCTAGCAGGCCATGTCATCAGATTAATATTTTTACGTTTAAACCACATTTTTGTTGATTTAGAGGCATGCACAGGGGCATTGTCTTGTTGAAAGATCCAATTTGGTCCACAAATATTTGGTCCAGCTTCCAATAAATGATCTTCAAGCATGCCTTGATACTTCTTTGAATTCATTCTTTGAGTTATAAATGCTAAATCTGTGGTTCCGTTGAATCCAAACGCACCCCACACCATTATTGATCCCCCACCCATTTGGCGTTTTGAAAATATTTGTTTTTCGGTTCTTAAATCGTGCCAATAATACTTCCAACCGTCTGGACCATCTAAGTTGAATTTTTTTTCATCACTGAACAAAACTTCAATCCATTCTTCGGACCATGTCATGTGTTTTTGTGCCCAATCAAGTCTGTCACTTTTGTGCTTTAATGAAAGTGGTGGCATTACAGCTTTTTTTCTGAATTTTAACATTGGAGATTTATTTAAAACTCTCCACACTGTTGTGCTGCTACAAGGCAAGTCTAATTCTTGTTTTATTTTTCTTACTGATGTTGGTTTTGTGGAGCAAACCTTGATGATTTGTCTACAATCTCGAGGTATAAGCTTGGGTTTTGGACCTATCTTGAATTTTGGTACATCCTAGCCACGTCTTTTTGATAAATAATCACCAACAGTTGATTTTGAATGATTTATAAATGCTGCAATTTCTCTTATTGACTTGCCTTGTGATTTATAGGCATTAATCTGCCCTTTTTCATAATCAGATAAATTCTTTGTTCTACCCATTTTAGAACGTTTGAACAACATAAGAAATTTGTATTCCAATTAGATATGTAAGCTAATTTGCACATTTCAATGCTTGAAACTAAACAATATTCTATTTAAGTCATGAGATGAGTGACTGTCCGGATAAATATGTAACAGTTTTTTTGTACAAAATTTTCAAAAATATTATTTTCAGTGACAAAATGTTAAAGTTGATTAAAATTTTTATTTTGCAGTGTGGAAACATGAAAATCCATGTTATTTTAATAAAACATTTGTGACTTAATGCAGCAAATTTGGGTTCCACTTTAATTTTTTCGTGTCCGTATAAATTTGAAACACACCTTAGATGTTAAAGTCGGCATACAATACTCATAAAAAATAATATGCTTTATTGTGACAATTTATTCATGAATATTTGAAATTAAATTTAGATAATACAGTACTTTTTCACTGAGCTTTATATTCTGCGCTTTTTTAGCTTCTCAGATATTTTAGGATGAAATGCAGGATAAAATATTCATTTTTACTTTCTCGGGTGTTATAACAGAGGAATTTTTACATTTTGGACTTAGAAACGTCGATAAATGCAAAAATATTCGGTATATATGGATGTTAGTGTGTGTGGGGGTCACTATTTTGTTCATCCTGTTTGAAGCTTAATAACTCCCGTGTTTTTTTTTTTTTTTTTTTTGTCGAAAATTTTGAAATTTTGCAGGGAAGTTTGTTTATTAGGGGAATTGATGCTATCAAATTTTGGTGGTTAAAAGTCGAGGGGTGGGAAGATAATGGGGGTCGTGTCTCCAGTAGGGTCGGACTTAATGACGATTTTACTCGTTACTAGTATTCGTAATTTTTTTATAAAACTTATCTTTATCCTCAAAATTAAGCTTTTTGCCATTTTATAATAGTTAAAAATATAAAACGTGGTTTTAATAAAATATGATAACAGATGGAGCAACCAAAAATTTAAATGTTGCCGGGAAAGTTGAGCAAATCGTCGCTGGTTTATTACAATACGTTCAGTAGCGTACCGTAGTGGGGTCGGCAGGGGCGGCCCGCCCCGGGCGGCACTTTTTAGGGAGCGGCAAAATTTCACAATAAATAATAATAATATCTTGTAAAAATTTGAGACATCCTAATCTATACTTGCATCGCGCCTACGATAATGCTGTCGTCCGGACAGTCCGGGAATCGGCTCGCCGGATGAACTAGTAACTTTTTCGTCCGAAGAATTTTTGCGAAACCTGTTGACTTTTTTTTTAGTACGATTCATTCGCGTTCATATACACCACTAATATGCAATAGAACTATTTTAAACAGGTCGCTGCACTGCCACCGAATTTTTCGTTGCTTGTTCTGTGACAAAACTGAATTTTGGTCTTTTAAATTGAAATACCTAAATAAGGGGTGGGCGAAATTTTCCTCCGCCCCGGGCGGCTGACACACGCGGTACGCCACTGATTACGTTAGAAATAACTGAAATACTAAGTTTATATAAGCATAGGCTCATTAACTAAATGCGATAAAAGTTTGTGGATTAGTTGCTGTGACTATAGGAATGATGAAAATTTTAAATTCCAAGTTCTCTTGTTAACAAATTACAAGATTCTCATCACTTATAGTTAGGCGACGAGAATAATCTTTTTAATGAAATATACTTCTTAGTAAAAAAAATATTAAAATGTGATTTAAAAAAAATAAGATTTAAAAAGTGGCCATGAAGTTATCTTTTAAATTTAATTTTTTTACTTAATTAAGAATAGTATTTGAAATATAAATTTGGGAAAATAATTATCAATGAGAAAGCACATTGACAAAAGTTAATATTGCATATATTAATTAAAACATATGTCAACAAAAGTTTGATATGAAATTTTTTATTTAGAAGCCGTAGGCTACATCATAATCAAGCAGATGATTTTTAACGTGAAATTATAACGAAAGGCTGGGTTATGTGGCTCTGGTGTTCGGGTCTATAGAAGGCCCAGGCCGGAATTTATATAATATTTTGAGTTTTATTAGTTATATTATAGTTAAATTGATTTTCTAAACTTAATTATAATTAATGTAATTTCAAGGGAGAATAAAGAATGTAATAAACTAAGTGTACAGTGGAACCTCGGTATACGATCTTAATCCGTTCCCGATGTTTGGACTTATACCGAATTGGACGTATACCAAACCAACCTTTCCCGTAAGAAGTAATGTAAAAATGATTAATCCGTTCTCGTGTAAAAAAAAATGGCTGGCTTTAAACACCTCGCTTTCCTGGCTAGTTCCTGCTTGATTTTTCGTGAGATCAGCGTGTATCTTTTTAGCTTTCTCGCAAATAATTGCTTCCGATACGCTGTCTCCACTACTGTTTTTAAGTTATCCAAAGCAAAAGCAATTTCTCGACATGATCTGATGTCTTCGATCTCTGTTTAGAAATTGATTTAACCCCTTTCGCAACGTTAGCACATTTAATAATGTCTTTATTTTTCGCGATTGTCCATATCGTCGTTCTCGGAATACGGTAGACAACAGTTAAAATCTCGAACAGACCTTCGTATTTCTCAACAATCTCTTTTATCAGTTCCATTGTAATTCTAGTAATTTTTTTTAGTTTTCTGTCGCTTTTCATTTGCCTTTTTGCGATTCGTGATTAATAAAAATAATAAAATTTTACTTACGAATTAAAATCAGAAGAAATTTAACAAAGTTATAAACCGTTGCACTGCGAACGTCTAGTCTGGTCTTGTACACTGATAGTGCTACTTGTTCATTGACGGCGCGTATAATTGAATTATGTCGTATACCGAGCAAAATTTGTTTCGTCCAAACAGGACGTATTCTAAAGCAGACGTATACCGAGGTACCACTGTATTACATTCTTTATTGGAATGGAGACTCTCGACCAGTAATGGCGAATCTATGGCACGCATGGCCAAATTGGCACATCGCATAAAATATCTGGCACGCGACATGTTTACTTTTTACTGTGTAAATAAAAATTATTTTAATTTCAGTTTTTAATTGTGGTTTTATGTTTTCAGTTTAATGTATCTTAATTTCCTCAATTAGCTTTTTCAAAAATTTATGCTAATTAAAGTAGCCTACATTTGCTTCGTTTTTTTTTTTTTTTTAAATAGTCGTTCTAAGTGTAAAACTATGACACGAATAAATTATTTGAAAGATAAAGACCTCAACAATATGGCACACAGACTCAAAAAGGTTCGCAATACCTGCCCTACGTTCAGGGTTCTTGACTCTCACTGCCATACGTATTCGATTTTTACATTATTCTCATTAGGCTTTACATAAAATTGCGACGAATCATATTATAAATGATATGATTTAAAGATTTCCTGAAACAATTTCAAATTCATAATAATTGTCCTTGATAAAACAATCGTTTCGAGATAACATTTTCAACAGTAGATAAAAATATTAACAAAGCGTATACAGTACTGTACATAGCCATTTCATTATCATCATCGAAAATTTCAGAATAATAATTGAAAATGTAAGAAACTTTAAATTAAGTATAGGATAATTATTATTCTGATTGAAAATATTTCAGAATATAAACAATTATAAATTATAATAATTTTAATATGATATTTTGTCTTCAATGAAGAATTTAATTATATAGATTTGTTTTCTAGAAATCATGAAAGCCATCATAAGCAATAACAGAATTTCATTCAAAGTTTTTAATAATAAATCTAGAAACATGTAAATTATAAATTCTTTTGCAATTTATCGAATTTGTACAAGACAAATGTGATAAGATAATCTATAGATCTGTCCATTATCGCGTCAAAAGCTGGTTATACAGACAAACTCTAGCTTCGTTCTTAGTTAATATGCTGAATTTCTTTTGTTCACCTTTATTAGCTTCGGTTATTGGCGTAACATTTTTTCAAATTTGCCAAACTTATAACGATGAAAGTGAGTATTTCGAATTTCTTAAATATTTATTTAATAGTAATAGTAATTATTTATATCTTGCAATAATATACGTTATAGTTGATAAGTTTTTAACATTGACTATTGTTTTTAAAAGAAAACTGATTCTAAAGCTCGATGTAAAATTAAATTTATTTTTTACTTTGCAAGCACGAAATACATTTTTATTTTCTACATGTAATATTAATATGTATGTATTAATTTAAATATAAGCTGAAATTTCTGTAAAACATCAAATAACGTCCATTGAAATGAAGGTAAAATGTTGCACGCAAATGTCTTATTTTTAGATGTTAATGTTTCATATTTTGCTTGAAGCTGCACGCAAGGCCGTCGAGAGGGGGGCAGTTTTCTCCGGGCTCGGGAGTTTTTTCTAGGCCAGAGAAAACTTAGGTTCTTGTAGTGATTCGTACTGGTGTAAAATTAATATTATTTTTACTAACATAAAATAAACTTTTTAAAATTGATTTTTATTAATAAAGAAACATTCTGCTTATTTCATATGTTCAAAATACAAAAGGCTAAAGAAACCCGCTAAGAGATAAAAGGGGTCCACTCTACCTTCGAATATCCCTTACAAGCTGTCGACGGCCCTGAACGCCCGCACGCACTTCTATAACTTAACTTTAATGAACTAATATGCAAATATTTTTAAATTAAAGCTAAAAGAATTATATGAATTAGTTACAACGTAAGATTTTGTTTCTTATTAAATTCTTTTATGGCAAAGTTATTTGAAATGGAGAATAACCTACGAAAGATCGATGAAAATAAAAATGAAATAAGTTTATTTATTTTAAATTCTGCATAAACAGCCAAAATAATAACAACCTTCTTTTCAAATATTGGATATAGACCTAGTTTTATCGTAACACATATTATCATGTAAAGGTATGACGATAAATGATATGATATGTATGATAAATGCATATTAACGGAGATAGTTAATTTAAATGACTGAGATTCAGTTGAAATTTATTCTTTGCCGTTATTATAGATTATCTCAAAGTATTCTTTTATTTATTTATTTAAATGGCTTAATGTTTTTAAATATCCTCTTTCTCTGTCATACGATTCATATATTAAGTTAGTGTCATTTAAACTTTTGTTTCTAATAGAATACTTTTTTAAAGAAGATTAAAACCAATTTCGTATTTGAATCGGAAAAATGGGATTATTTTTTTCTGTACACGAACGTTATACTTTTATACAATTCTTTCCGGATAAGTTGCAATTCCATGCAATGATCATGGGGTTAATTAACACTCTGCAGTAGTTTGAGTGTATTTCAGTAGCGCACGTTACTGAAGTTTACTTCGTCGCAATCGTAAAAGGATGCTTCATCCGTGAAACAAATTCGCCTGGGAACGGTAGGGTCTATGTTGCCAAGATCCATAAATATTTCTGCAAAGTTTATCCTTGCACTGTAGTCTTCAGGAAGTTCTTGATGACATTGGCCGGGTCGTCTACAGATGATAACAGAACCTGTTGAGAATCGTATGTACAGACATTGAACTAATTTATCTTGTAACTGAGGAAACCAGAGCCACACAGCGATTGGAAGTACAGTAGTTTGGTTTACTGTGAATTTACAGAGGATGCAGTTATGATGTCCATAATTGCGTCCTCTGTCGTACAACTTACGGGTCTCTCAATGCTGGCGCATCATCCAAGACATTCGTGCGTCGAAATTTAGCTATCATTCTTAAGATTGTATTATGTTGGGGATAGGGCTGATTGGGATGAATGTATAAAACCGAACTGCGACATCACTTATGCTGCATCCCTGAAGGTAAAGTTGTAACATCTCGCATCTTTCAGCTTTCGTTTATCTCATTCTGTCACACACTGTTTGCACTCTGCTAAACCGACTCTAAATACCTGGCCGGTATAACAAAATACTACCGTCATAGACACAGCAATTTGCGTAATTACCATAACACGGATGTTTGCGATTTACCGTATATCTTACTACTAATTATTAAGAATGGACATCAGGAATTACAATGAACTTTCAAACATTGTCATTGTAGACAATTTTTGAAAACCCGTTGTAACCATACAATCTTCAAGCCTATCATAGACTGGAGATACATTTGATAACCAGCCAGATTAAGCCTGACAGTATTAATAATGCCCTGCAGTATATTTTTGCTTCGTCAGGCACTCCTATGGTGCTTTTTTTTTCCTACCGCTCTGGGAGATCTGGATCGAGTCCGGACGGGTCGAAAAATTCTTAGAAATTTTTGGGGGTGGTCCGTCTGGATATGTCGGACTCCATCCCTCACCACCTGTCCACGTCATTGTGGGCCTGGTTGAACCCATAATACGCTTTCTAAAAGAGGCCTTCTTAGTGCCCACAAGGCGGAAAGATTTTAAAAAACCTTTTTCGCTCTGTGCATACTAAGAGGGTTTCTTTTATCATCCCATTTTAATAGCCATGCAATATTTAACAGGCCCCTTTTAACAGCCAGGCCCACAATGGGGCGACCGAATGGTGAGAGACGAGTCCGACATATCCAGACGGACTACTACCTGAAAAATTCCTGGAAATTTTTAGACCCGTCCGGATTCGATTTCGGGTTCTTCAGAACGGTAAGCCATCCGGCCGTCATTATTTAAAATTACTGTACGTACAATCTGCTTTCAACAGTGCTCTAGCTCTATACTTTTCTGCATTGATTAATTTTATGCAATGCAATATTGATGGAAGTCGGCCGGAAATTTCCAGGAATTTTTTGGAATAGTATTCCCTGATATGTCGGGTTCCGTCCCTCACTCTCGGCCGCCACATTGTGGACTTGGCCAAACCCATAATTGCCGGAGAAAAAGGCCATCTAGTGCTCACGGAGAAAACAGTAAAAAAATAAGTATTGATCGGCAACAGTATCGGAATGCCCATTAATTATCCGTAGAACCACAGAGTCGTTGAATAATTCCCAGCAGATGCAGCTATTACACTTTTCTTTCGTTCTATCTGTAATTAATCAAGAAGTAGAGATCACAGTCATCAGTTTGATTCTAAATTTTCGTAAATATAAAGTATTATATCATATTTAGTTAATTTTATGACACTAATGTTTATTACATATAATAAGAGAAAATAAAGAACAACGTTCTACGCAGAAAGAAAAAAAAACTAAAAACGTCAAGGACAAGTTAGAAATTTGGCAGTGTTGAAAGACTTCTCACATGCAATATGAGAAGTATCTCAGAGATCAGTTATGATCATTGAACACATTATTCATCGTCTACTTTTATAATTTTTTCTATTTCTGTATAGAACACTATGTTCAAAAATCTTGTAACTGAGGAAACCTAAAATAAAGTAGGCGAGAGTAATTTTTAATATAAAAAGCTCATAACATTGTATTGTATTTTATCTTATTAGGCCTAATGTATTCGTTCACAAGGTCAGGATTTATATCTTTAACCCGTATTTACTTTTTGTAGGAATTATTCTTCTACTTTAAATAGATAAATACAGTATTATCTGTTTAACCAGTAGAATCAAATGATTCAGTAAAGATTATCAATAAACATCCATTTTGCTTATCTAATAATAAATAATATTACAAGTACAGTACAACGAATCTCCAATAACGGCCACCTCTAAATGGGGGCCAATGTTTTATAAATGTTGAATGCATACAAATTAATTAACTTACAGTCACTCTCAACAACTGCCATTACTTATGTTCTTGTTAGCGGCCGTTGTTTACAGGTTTGATTGTAATTACTTTCCTGTTGTTTGTAAAAATTCTTATTTTAAATATATTTTATCAATTTGTTATGGAAGACATATTGGATTTCTAATAGGCAAAAACGATGTAATTTAATATATGAATTTCACATATAAAGTAACTAGATTATAATTTGTTTAAAATGTTTCTAAACTGTTAAGATAATGTAACATATCAAGTAATATATTCTTATTTTCTTCATTAATATTTTAAAATTTATGCCAAATACATCTTAGTTCATTGTTTTGAAAAATTATAGGCCAATAATCATATTTCAAATAAATAATCGACATTTTACCACACAACGAGTCAATAATAGTTTTTTAATATGAGACATATTCGGTTACGGCAACGCGACATGTGAGCGATCTGGAGAGGAGGATGCCTCCCGGGAGGACTCTTATGAGAAATTGACCTTAGTTAGATGTTACTGATGTGAAGGAAACCCGAAAATCTCAATATGGCCAGCCCGTTGGCGAGGCTCAAACCCACGACCAGCTATCAATGTTCAGTGGTTTTATCCACTCTGGCACTGATGGACCACTTTTTTATACAATCCAATGCATTTCTTATATCCTTTTATTTTGATAATCGAGGATCTGGAATATAAAAAAACTGAAGTGAAACAGACTCCTTCGGCTTTTTCGGCGTTGTAACTGGTACAGATTGAAAATACAGCAAAATCTCAATTTAATGATATTATTTGTTTCCCCTTTGAAATTAGTACTAAATCAAGTGTGAGATAAATTGAAGTATACAATACGAATTATACACAATAGTGAGATGTACTGTACATGCAAATTTGAAATTTAGAGATTGAAACTCACGCAATTTGTTGACAACAATGCGTTTTACAACGCACATCGTACCTGTACATTTAGTAATTCACAAGTAGGCTACTGAAAAATTCTCTATTTAATATTTGTGAGGAATATCCGTGGGCAAATATTCAGTAGTGCTAATTAGGAGGGCGCAATATCGCGGTTTGACTGTATATTCTTATGGACAATAAGAATATTAAATAAAATTTAAAAATAAATTTTATTTGCAACTTGTATCTTTAAAACATAAATTTTATAAATAAAACTGAGTAAGTAGATAATATTATGGCTAACATGTACTGTACGTGTAGAAATTAAGATATTCTATTGTAATTTAATTAATTTCATAGATAATATATTTCAAATACAATTTTTATTATAAAATTTATCTTCTACTTTACTAGATTTTTTTTTTATT